AAAAAAAAAAAAAAAAGGAAGACGAGCCTTCTTGCATCAAGAGTTCCCAAGACAAGAGAATTATTTAGGGTGAGATTGGCCCCAAGGTGTGAAGCCTCACAGAGTATTGAAAAACCACTAAGAAAAGAAAGCAGAACGTGGGGAGGTGGAGGCCAGCACCATGAATAACTCCTAACTCATCGGTCTGTACCCTGAGAGAGAAGTATACGAGGCTGCAAGACCAAGGTTGAGGCAGGAGGCGGGCTGAGGGAGCTGGGTGCACCCCAAAAGCCAAATCTGAGCAGGTCCAGTGGGAAAATGGCTGGGTAATGAGCCCGGTGTGGGGAGACTTGCTTTCCTCCAGTCCCTTCCCAGGCTCACCAGTGGCACGGGAAAATGCCACCGGCTGGATAATTGGCCAGGTGCTCACCCCCTTCCGGCTCTGTGCTGGCTGCTTCGTGTGCGTTCGGCTTCCTCTGCCTCACCACACCCCAGTGATTCTTCTGCTGATTCCACTTCCAGAGTGACTCAGTTCCTTGGCTGTGGTCTCTGCCGATCACTGTGGGCTGTTGGACCCCACATCACCGTAGTGTTCTGCAGTGTTCTCTGTGGCGATCTGTTTGGGGTAGATACTCTCTTTCCGCTCTGAGGTTGTGGGTTCTTTTCATGTCATGTTTTCGGGATGGAGAAACTCTTGAGTGAGGAATAGTTGTTTACATCTTGAGTCGCCTGCCAACCAAATGGGCGTCTGTCACACTTTGGGCACTTGTCCAACCTCTCTTGAGTCATGGTTCCTCATTTGTGACCTAAGAGCAATGGCATCTCATGAGCTTGTAGACAGAACTAGGTGACAGAGTCCACAGAGCTTAGTCCTGGTGCAGGGCCATAATGAAGGCCTAACAGGTGTTATTATTTAGGATCTATAGAGCACATTTGTTTTATTAAAGAGAAAAACCAGAGGTCCTGAGTTCTTGTGGACACTACATCCTATTATAAGGTAAAAAAAACAAAACAAATAAAACCCCTCACAGTTTGAGAAAGCTCAGCTAATCTGCCATACCCCTCTAGTTTTTATACAAACACCCTTGTCTCAGAGTCCCGAGGGCCAGTCCCCATGCAGTTTACATTTTTACACACGCTGACTCACCAGATGCAGCCCAGACCGTGCACACAGATCACAATTGGTTGTTGAGTTGCTTTTCCAACCCTCTTCTCCTCTTCCACTACCTGTTATGTGCACAGTTATTCCGTTCCTTCGACCCAGATTCCCTGAGCTCTTCCCGGTACCACTCCGGGCAGCTCTGCAGGGGGCTGTGGCCACCAAAAGGAAGGGTCTGGTTCAGCGCTCTCCAAACAGCAGGTGCTCACTAGTGATGCCTGGTCGCTCTGTTTCAAAGACTTGTCCACAGATATTTTCCAGAGAGAAGTAAAGGGAGAAACGGGCCTTGACAAACAGAAATCTGGTTATTACATTGTGTGCCTTCTTTGGGACCCAGCGTTGGGTAGTTTGGAAAGCAGAGGGGAAAGCCATGTGGAGGAAGGACAGGAAGGATGTGCCTCTGGGCTGACATCGTCAGAGAGACCGGCGTTATACGTAGTATCTTAGTCTTCAAGCATCCGTGCATAGAAAATAGTCTCGGCTACTGAATTTCCATTTCATCAACAGAAGAACGGAAGCTTGGGATGTTTCCATGTCTTGCTGGCTGGTTCAAATGCAGCTTTTGCAACCTTCGAGCCCTTGACAAGTTCACAATGCTGCCTTCTTCCACACAGGGAGGAGCTCCTGCTAGGAAACAAAGGCTGCCTCCATGTTTCCTCTATCCCCATGCTTCCGCATGCATCCCTGCTCAGACTGCTCATGGTGGCCCCATCCTGGCCACCGTGGAGATGTCTTGTCTTGTGCCTGGACATGCACCTTCTTCCTTTGCGTGGCTTCTGTTCTTCGCCACCACTAAGGGCTTGGTACTGCCAAATGTGGTGAACTTCAAGGAAAGAACGGAACCTCTGAGGTTTTCAGGACAGCACATCTGTACTGACTCGGCACACTGAGAGCCACGGGAGCTAGCGTTTGTGGGCTGTGTAGGGCTTGGGTATGACAGGCCTCGGGACACCTTTGGAGAGGGCAAATCCTTGTATTGTTTTTGTTTTGTAAATGAAGAAACTGAGATAGTTTTAGGAAGATCAATCAGACTTCATAACGAAAGGGAGCTTGGTCTCACCGGCCATCTGTAGAACGTAAAGGAGAGCCAGGTGCTTTTCCAAGGGCTTTGCTGGAGCAGAATCCTGTGGTTACTTCCCTCTTCTCCTGAAGAGCTGTGCAGAGCTGTGCAGGAAAGACTGCAGGGCTGTTTCTGTTGCCTTGAAAGCTCTCTAACTCCATCTGTATCAGTCAAAGAACTTAGCAGGAATCCTTTCACTGCCTTGTTTATTTAAAAACTATGAACTAATCACTGATTACCCTTCACTGACCACACCCTGTGCTGGGTATGGGGGAGTGCCCGAGGACCAGACAAGCCCCTCCCTGTAGCTTCCGGAGGAGAAGGAGAAGAGAAACAAGCAGCTATAGCAGTCAGTCCCTCCGGAGTATGCATGGAGGGTTGGCTTCAGGACCGCGTGGATCCCAAAATCCGAGGATGCCGACACTACTTATACAAAACGACATCACGTGAACTACGTGTGCTCGCCCTCCCTTATACTAAAACCCATCTCTTGATTACTGTTACCTCCTAACGTGAAGTAAATGCTCTGGAGAGACTGAGATGGCGTATTGTTCAGAGAATCATGTCGGGAAATAAGATCTACCTGTCAGTACAGACCTTTTTTACCCCAGATGTTTTGGATCCATTGGCTGAGTCCCTGGGACCTACAGACACAGAGGTAACTGCACACTGTGTAAGATAAAGTGTGATGATGGGTGGATGTTGGCCCCACCATAGAGCTGCGTAAAAGAAGGACCTAACCTACTTTGGAAAGCCTCTGGGAGAAGGTGACATTTCAAGTGAGCACTAAATGATGCGTGTGAGGATTGACTTCTGGGTAAGAAAGCAATGGACTTATTCACTGGCATAGGATTCTGTGCTCTATTGTGGAGTTGCCTCTGTCAGGCCCAGTGCAGGAAGAAAACACATAGTTTTGTGATCTCTTTTAACTTGAGACAAAAGGATGTGCAGTTTAATTGAGCTGGAAGATTTCTCTTTGGGTGAACCTTACCATCATCCTCTATTCTGTGTGCTCAGGACAAACGACAGCTGAGCCACCACCACCCACCATGCACCCCCGCTGCCCTCTGTTAAAGGTGAAAACATACCCTCTTGTGGGCTAGTGTGTCAGAGTGTGGGTACATCCAAAGACATCCCTCTTGGCCTGTCTGCCCAGAAAAAGAAAGAGAAACCCAATCTCGATGCACAGAGGAACTAAGATACAGGAAAGGGCTTGGGAAGAACAGATCAACATATCTCCAGAGGATGCCAATTCCATTCAATCCCCTCAAATCCTGAGTCCATCGATGTGATTTGATTGGATAGTTTGCCTCAGACTCATTTAATGGTTGAACACCTGATTTGATTTCCTGGGACCCATCAAGGGACTTGACTTACAGGAGCCACTGAAAATTCAAGAAATCATGTTCTCTTGTCTGAACCGGTTCTCTGGGTCC